GAAGGAGAGGGAGAGGGGGAGGGCGAGGATGGGAGTAGGGGCTCTAATAGCAAAAGCAGTTCAGTCCTTTGCTAACAGTCAACAAATCCGTGTTTATCCCTCCTCTTGAGGGTCAAAAAGTTATTAGACACTTACTCTTCGCATGTCAGCGAAAAGCACATTTCATGGTCCTTTCAATAAAGTGATAAAAATGGTAGGTCAGCGCTGAAACAAAAAAGTTTTGCACTCGGTCCGTTAGACCATGTCCTCAGAAAATGTCTGATATCTGACCTTTCCCCCCTGCCCTTTGACCTGTGACCTCCAATTTCGCGCTGATGATGCGTTTCCTCCCCATCGCACTATACATCGAATATTAAGAGCGTAGGTCAAGCCGTTGAGATTTGTGCAACAATCCGTATTTCTTCCTATACCTTAAGTTAAGGGAGAAATATTCCACCTCCATTGACACATCTTGACCTTTGACCCTTGACCCCCAAACTCGACATCCCGAGTTCGTTTCGCGATCCCCCCCGACGTCCCGAATAACAAGACCGTACGTCGAGCGGTTAAGATTTGTGCCATAACTGTTGACACACGGACGGACGGACACACGGACGGACGGACGCACGCTCATGCGATTCTACAAGCTGCATCTGACTTCGTCAGCTGAGCTAAAAATGGTTAGACGTCAACTGTCATTAACTTTTTCATCAGCCGATACAGCGCCTGCTCAAATACTCGCTACTGCTGCTGCAGCCAAAACCTCTCATACCCAGTGAGACATAGATGAAGACTAACACCTGTCAGGTGAGTGAGGGAAAGGAGGACGAGAAAGAGGAGGATGTGCAGGGAGAAGGGGGCCGTTTACAAGTTCAAATTGCGTCTCTATGAGACCACAGCATTAATCATTCTCACATGCACCATCTTCTGGTGAAAATGTGAACTGACACCTAACACACCCTATTATTATAATGGCAACGGCAATCAAGTTACGAAAACAAAAGCAAACGACTGACCAGGCAATAATCGCAGAGAGACTTCACGATCCACACCCGCTCAATGTAGTTCAGCTCATGAAACTCCTGCTCTTCCAGTGGATCACACTCGCCTGAGTAGAATTAGTGACACACAGCGATTAGCCAATAGAAAATACACAAATACGGCATTGCTGTTTGAAACTGTCACAAAAATACCAGTAACATAGCCTGCCTAAATAAATAACCTTCGAGCTAGTCATAAGCATAATACAGAAACTATTCATGATGACACAGTACACACACTTTCGATTAAATTCCGTTGACCTTGCAATACATTTTTTATTCTTACCTAGGACGTCAAACAGTTTCGTGTCAAATCCAAACTTCGTGCACACCTTTTCTATGTCATAACCCTTTTCACACAACATTTTGTACCACTGTGCAACTCTCTTCTTTAGGCGTTTGGACCAGATTCGGTAAGGCATCGGTGGCTTCCTGTCCAGTCTATCAGGAAAATGAGGAAAAAACCAAACATGTGCGAATGCAGAATGAGAATTCCAATAACCCACTACCACTCTGTCTAACAAGATTGACAAGTAACTCGATCCAATCATTATTGTGGCAGGATGTCTCAAAGCTAATGCTAGACAACTAATTCCGGCAAAATCGACAACACTTTAATGAATACGTGTGGAAAATACCTACAAACTGGTTTAGCTTTACAGACCAAATATTCAATGAAGCATGATATCTCACTTAGCTGGATAGGTCAATTTTTACAATACATTAGTTCTTCTGACGCACTTAACCTTACCAACCTATATACATGACAGTGGTCATCGACTATTATTACAATGCAAATATAAGCATGCGTGATCCAAGCGCTGCAGCCACACATACTTTGGCCTCTGGGATGGTGAGCAAAGTAGCGTTGTCATAATCATGGCCAGCATACTGCTCTCTCTTGGCATGGCCAGGCAACGCTCCAACTCATATGTGTTTAGCAGGGGCATGTTTAGAGCCTCTTGGGTCAGATAGAAGAAATGACAGATCTGTGGAAGCTGAAATTTTAAACAGTCAATAAACATTGTTGGATTAATGATAACAAGCATGACTATAATAGTACGCATACTTAATAACACAATAATATGCACTAGAGGTGTAAAGATACAATAGAGTCACGATGCAATATGTATCTTGATATGAAGGATACGACACAATACATATTACGATAGAGAGGTTATGATACGTTACGCATTGCGGTACACAGACAGAAAGCGAGATATTGTCCAGTCCTTGTGTTTTGGAAAAGGCAGGCGAGTAAAAAATCGCACACCTTGGCTCGCTGAGGTGTGTGATTTGCTTCGGAGTGCCCACAGCAAACTAGGGGGGTTCGGGGCATGCTCCCCCGGAAAAAAATTGAAAACTAGACTTCATGAAATGCCATTTCCAGCATTTTGGGATAAAAATTAGCTCTGCATTTGTACTCTTAATTTTGACATTTTTTAGGTGATTTTTTTTCATCTAACAAAATATCAGTTCTTGAACATGTGGATAACTTGAATCACACATTTAGCATGTTTAGTCAAAAAGGAACAACACTCAATTTTTCAAAGCAGACTATTAAAACTTTATCTAACAAGTGCCGCAGAGCGACAGCGCTCATCTAACGTCTACTGCGGTGACTGTGGTGGAGTGGTGGGATTCTAGTAAACCCTGTTAGCCCAAATGTGTTTCACATACACGCCGAAACAGTGGAATGCACAGAGGATGGTACAGGAACCTTCTCAAAAGAATGTTCGTTGGGATCGTTATGAAAGTTGCCACGACGATGGCGCGTACGTTTAAGTGTCTTCAGATTAAAGATGGAAGCTCCCATCATACGTAGTAGCAACAACTATTTGCAAGACAGAATAGGTAAGCATCATCCATTACCTACGCAAGCCTACAGGCTGCAAATTGCAATAGAGAGCTGCCACCTGTAAGCAATTAACGCAGGCAAAAACTGCACCAACACATGCACTGGCAGCAGCCACTGGCAGTGGCATACGTTACATGTAACATACTGACAGTACAGAAAATGACATAGTAATTATACGATTTTAAGGAAACATACACCTTCTTTAACCAAATTTAGCCTTTGAAATTTCACTGTGACATTGTAGCCTCATACATCCAGGCATGTATGATTCTACTAGCAAACCCGGCGTCAAAATTCTTTCTAACACAGTAACAGTTAACAAATCCATGTTTAACCCTCCTCTTGAGGTCAAAAGGTTTATCCGACACTTACTCCTTCGATGTCAGCAGAAGGGACATTTCATGCTCCTTTCAATAAAGCCATAAAAATGCTAGGTCACGCTGAAACAAAAAAGTTTTTCAATCGCTCCGTCAGACCATGTCCTCAGAAAATGTCTAAAATCTGCCCTTGCCCATTGACCTTTGACCTGTGACCTCCAATTTCGCACAGTGATGGCTTTTCCTACCATGATGCTATACACCGACTATCCACGAGCCTAGGTCAAGCCGTTTAGATTTGTGCCGCCATATTCTTGATTTCCTCCCTATACCTTAAGTTAAGGAGGGAATTAATGTTCCCCCTTCTTTTACACCTCTTGACCTTTGACCTTTGACCCCAGCTTCGACATCCCAACTCGTTTTCGGATCCCCCCCCCCCACGTCCCGAATATCGTGACCGTACGTCGAGCGGTTAAGATTTGTGCCCAACTGTTGACGGACGCACGGACGGACGCACGGACGGACGCACGGACGGACGCACGGACGCACGGACGATCATGCGATTCTACAAGCTGCATCTGACTATGTCAGATGAGCTAAAAATACAACCAATCACATTCGTTGTTCTAGAGCGCTTTGCGACAGTCGTTATAAACATGTGAACCGACTTCCGGCAATGTCCGTGATGTTTACAACCGTTTGCGTTTATCTTCGAGTTTATAAGTTGAATTAATGAAAAATAAAACACGAAAAATAAAACAAACAAAAACCAAACAAAAAGTGCGTTTTGATAATGTAGTAACCTTAAACACAAGGTCTGATTGTCAATTATATAATGATTAATTTGTCTTACCAGATATGAAATAATAATGGTAACTCTTCAGGTGAAAATTGCATTTGCATGTTTTTTTCATGAAAATTAACATGTCAACTTATTATTCTCGCTAGTAAGGGTTGTTGCAAATATACCCAGCAGTTAAAAACCCACATTTACTAGGGATAGATGTAGCTGAAATAGATAGATAGGTTTTCACAAGGCATAAAAGAAGCGGATAGGGGCTTATTACAATATAGCAGCAGCAGCCCACCTCCCAGCAGGTCATCATCTGCATCCTGATTGGCTCCTTCAGTAAGTTGTTGTCCCAATCAAGGGCCTCCTGCTCTGCAGCCTCTGTTGCCTTCCTCTTCTCCTCCATTGTCTGCAATCTCTGCTGCTTCTTCTTCTCACGCTCCTCTTCCCGCAGCTGCTGTACCAGGTGCGAGTTATCATTGGGAACAATCACTTTTCTCTTCCTAGTACCAGTGAAGCCACAACCTGCAAATACACGATTCAGTTCATTTCAAAGTATATATCTGATTAGGCCTAAGAAAAAAAGATGTTTGTTTCAGCTAATGAGCTGGAAAAAAATTGGACACGGTAGGCAGGCAAAACTTTTTTTATCAAATATTTTTTTGGTATTCCAACTATACTTGTTTTATGCTTATAACAGCCCATACAATGACTTCAAAGTCAAATCAATGCAATCACCGATCGATATCACGTTAGGATTTTTTTTATTAAAAAGTTTTTTTTGGCCGATCACAATAAAAAGTTTTGACACAGGGGTTTAAAATGCACTCGGTCGGGTTAGCGGAAACAAACGTCTTTTTTTAGGCCTTAGAAAGTTGTGATATCTATCTTGCAAAATATTGTCAACTAGTGATGCTCTGACGGTCGATTATAATCAAAAGTTGATCGTTGCAGCCACCAACTAGCTAATCGATTTTGAGAACAACTAATTGATCATCAAAGTTAGCTATTGGGAGTAAGAATAACACAGCAAACTTCCCCAGTGCTCGCTCTTTTACTTCTTTAGTTGTTCAAATTTCACTGGAAAATCGTTAAAATTACGGTTTATCCTGACACTACCATTATAAAAAAATTTGTCAATTTTGCTCAACATGGCATATAAAAAAATGCTTGATACTTATGTGTGTGTTATTAACTAATTAGCGATAATAGAATATAGTAGTATTTCTACCCTTTTCAAGATAATGGAGTCAAAAAAATATTATGACAAATACATATAAATAAAATATTGGTGCAATAAGCCTCATAAACATATTTTATTACTCTGAAGCTTTATAGCTTGCAGAAGCTATATTAATACCCCTATGAAGCAATACTACAGAAACAGGCTGGCTCTGTTAGTTTAAGGTCAGATATAATAAGGTCATGCATGCATTATGATGATTAACCAATTATCCGTGTTTATTGGTGTGTAACTGATAATCGATTTTGAAATTCTAGCCGATTCCTATCATTGCCAACTACATTCTGTGTGATAAATTATACAATCACACATTGCCTCTATACTGGCTGCAGTCTCGTATAATTTATAAACAAAGAATCTAGCCTCATATAACAACTCACTTGATAACTTGGGAGAAGTTGACCCATACACTGCAGATGTGGCTTCCAAGCTTGTCTTTTCTCTCACATGCCTATGAATGAGAAAAAAGAAAATACTATAGCAGGGGACATAAGTGTGTAGTACCAAAACGCAAAGCATTATAATAGAATAACCAACACAGTTTAACCTTTTAAAACAAACACATAGTATCATTATGTCATGCTATGTAAATAGCTTTACAAAATGCATACCAGCTCAGCAATGCGAGTTTCTGCTCCAACATGGTGTTAAGTCTATTCGCTTTCTTTGAAATAACGTGATCAGGCCCATTATATCGCAGACAATTCTCAACCATTCGGCGAAAGTCGGCAACAAAGTCTGTTATAGACTGATAGGTAAAGTCATCAAACTTCTGCTTCACTGAAAACAAACAAAGAAACACCATACTATATGCATTTTAACTACAGTAATACCCTGCATAATACGACAACTCAGGTCACATAAATTCGCACATACGTAATTGTAAATCATGGCCTGTTTACTCATGTTATGAAACGAAAATGTGCTCTTACCTAATTTTTGAAAAGATTGAGTGTTGTAATTACCACAAATAAAATTTAGATAAATATGCAACCAGCTGCCAACACGTTGGGTGGGTCATCTTTAATATGTGTAAATATCGTTATCACATTAGTCACGTTTGACCCACACGGTGCTTAAAACGTATGTTCCTGCAATCAGCCTCTCTACATCCAGTATATTCCAGGTTTATCTTAAAGCACATAAACTAGCATTGTGTGTGTGCCCTTAATGTTACTCATTTCAAGGCAGTTATTCACAATGGCCTCAGCTGCTAAGGGCAGCTGTACAAAGAGAAGATCCACAATAAACGGCAAAACAACTTTAGATAATTTTGGCCTCCAGATCAGAGCAGGTTCCTGAAAAACTTGGTGAATGTGATGATGAACATGGGCCAACTGCCAATAGTGCCCCTACCTCCATCTCCCAGTAATTCTGATTTTGTACCCCCTTTCCCTTCCAGCATTATTATGTATGACATTGTGTTACATAATTAGACAAATATATGTACAGTAAAACTCGCATAAGTCGATACTTTTGGGACCAGCATTTTTGTGTCGACTTACGAAAATGACGACTTACGGGTAAGTCGTCATTTTGTCAACTTATATATATGTAAGTTGCCAAAATGACGACTTATGCGTATACATCGTCATTTTGGCAATTTACAAAGCCGGTATTTCGACGACTTGGAGAGTGTCAAGTTAATATTTCGCCAGGCTTCATATCTACATGAATAATTAATATGATCTCTCGGTTGCGTCTCAGCTTTCTAGTGATATATATATATATATATATATATAGTGCGGCCCCGTTATAGCGCAATCTTACAGTGACGACTTACAGATCGGGAAATTACTGTTGTTTGTATTACATGGGACCTGTCTGAGAGCGCCAACTTACACATGACGGCTTGTAAATGACGACTTAGGCGAGGCTATTCCAATGGATTTATTATAAGAGGAAATCAGGACTTTGACTTTCATGTCGACTTATGCGAGACGAGTTAGACGATGATGACTTAAATGCAAGTTTTACTGTATTAAACAACTTTACTTGCTTTCATAATTGCCTGTCTATTACATCATTTAGCTGAAATATTTTCCCAAAGAATGCGTCTCCAATTATATAATAGAAGCCAACATGAAAATATGACTGACCTTACAGATTTTCATGTTACAAACACTTTTTTTTTTTTACAGATTACTTATGTACGTAAAGCCAGGTGTTTCTGTATCTGACTATCAATGAAGGATAACAATTAATACTCTGGCATGCAAAGACAAAGCAAAGAACATTAAATGCAGCATAAATATTTTTGTGAAAACCTGATTATACAGCATTGCTACTTCAAAAGTCCATGACTAATAATAGAAATAGAACATTTTAACATAGGAGCAAACGTACTTTTTTTCAGCCATATTGGGTCTTTCACTCGTTCGTGGTAGTCCCATAGCTGTAGTTCCTCGACATCCACTTCATCCATAAACAGTCTGCATCGCACAACAAAATCGGTTCCTCAAAATTAGTATGAACATATTTGAACTTCGAAAAAAAAACAGAATTAAAAAGATGGCCATTTAAAGGAGAGGTGCCGCCGTTGGTACTCACTCATGATCCTATACTGTAAGATCCTGTAGTTGAGTAAAAGTTACTGTAGGGTGTTACACTCTGATTAGTGGAAATTTGATCTAATATTATATGCCTACATCAAAGGTTGATATGCTCAGCATTGCTTAGGAAGTGTGTAATCTAAGTCACATCTTTTTAAACAAAATTCATTGCATAACCTGGGCTTTTCATAATAAAACTCTATTTGATGATAGAATATCAAAAGAAACATTAACAAAAGTTCCAATATTGTTCTGTTGTTTTTATAATGTACTTGAAATAAAAGCATTGATGATTTAATTTAACACAATAAACGTTTATACAGATGAAATTTCTCAGTCAATCAGTGAATGTGGTCCAAATGTTACATTTAAGACTACAGTTTATTACCAAGTCAAGAAAAATAAAAAATTCAAAAAAGTTGAAATCTTAAAATCTATCGATTTACAAATGCCAATGTAATAAAACTGCAAATTTTCTGGATAAAAAACAACGTTTTGTAAAATAAATATGACTGGAAGAGCATTTTAAGACCAAAAATTAGGACACAAAAAGCAGGAAAAAATTAACAATTTCAAACATTAACAAAATCCAATGGAAACACATTCACATCACTATTAAAAATTTTTATGTATGCACTACTTAAATACCAATTGTCCAAAAGAATTTCATAAGGCCTGTAGGTGAAATTTGTAGGTATATACTATTATTTATCCACCTACTATCATAATATACCCTAAAATTCTAGGATGTTGTATCCTTTTAAAGCATGTTAGAGGAAATGTTAGAGGATTTTAAGGATGTCGTAAATTAGTTTCAGCTTTGATGGCATATCGGACCTGACATACGTTAAAAGACTGAGGAGAACCCTGTATATTATTTAATAAAGAACAAATATATTTCATTAGATGATATCACACCTGTTGACAGATTTGTTAACATCTGACATAAATTCTTTCAATATCCGATAGCCTTGTTGAAGCTCTTCACTCAGTTTCAACCTGACCACCTCATCAGCATCATGTTGTTGCTTGGCTTCTACTGATCGAACCAACCTCTGAAGAAAAACGAACAATATATATTTAATTAGAATAATAATATAAAAGAATTAGTACTACTACTAGTAGTAGTAGTAGTAGTAGTAGCTAACATTGACTAGCTGATTTGCTAAACACAACTTTTAGGCAACATTGTTTTTAGTGTAGCGCTTTACACTACAAACAATATTACTATTACTATTAGTATTAGCTCTAAAAATTGTGTTTTAAAGTCAAAATATAATGCTTCCTAAATTGTTACACATTTAGGAACTTACAATTTACGTACTCTAATAGTCTATACCATATTTAACAGCAACGAATTGACATTTAATGGTTTTATACATTTGCAAATACAGCACCAAACCAAGGTACAAACAATGCTTACCTTGACTACTGCTGTTACATCAGCCTGGATTCTGTCTCCTGGGGTTGGTACCGTTCTAGTACACCGCGATGCCCTACTTCCTTGCTTTTTATCGGAGGAAGGGAGCATCAGCTGACTTTTAGGTTTTATACCTACTCCTAACTCTGCGTCTATTACTGCTGTACTTGTTTCAACTTTAATTACATCCACATCAAAATTACTACTACTACTACTAGGCATATATGTGCCCACGATGCTATCCTCGTCTTTTTCCATCTTGCTACGCTGTTCCTTAATTATACCTGCATAAAAGTATGTAGGCCTAGTGAACGCTAGATATGCAGCCGTTCCGGTTCTTTGCTCGCTCCTCAGACTCAGCATCAAATAATCGAAACATAAAACCAATCATGACAAACACTTGCTCTGTTTGACTTTTACTTGTTTGCAAGTTGCAAATAGCGCAGTCACTTCCACTTCCATATAATAGCGAAACACTTTCTCTTTAGATTTCTTGAAAGTCAAAACCTTTTAAATGTCAGACTCCCTATTATTTGCTGCTTCTACAACCCGTGATTGAAGGTATTTTACTACCAAAAAGTAACTACGACTTCAGAAATAATAAAAGAAGAAAAACATACACTTTAGCAACCTATAATACACGAGATCACGCCAAATCTCGCGAGAATTTCGCTGTCGTACTGCAAGCACTGCAGCTGCAGGGCAAAGCAGGCCGTTCCGGTCGCGCGTTTACAATCAGATTTGCTTCACTAGTCTATGCACTTGTGCGACATGCAGTTGTATATTACACTTGACACACTTACCCGCACTGGCCGGTTGTACATAACAACAGGCTATAATTAATGTGATATAAAATACTATTATATATTAATTATATTTGTGTGTGTGTAGGGCCTATGCGTGCGTGGGTGCGTGTGCGCGTTGGGGCGCGCATCAATGGAATTCCTGTAAATAAATATACGATGTTTGTTGTTTTTAATGTTATATAATGTTTTTTGAAAAAATCTCCAGATTTTAGAAGTCCGGGGGTTGGCATCACTGGCGTGACCATTATCCCTGGAACCTGCCAACCCCCGGACTTCTAAAATCTGGAGATTTTTTCATCACTTGAGGGACTTCATAAAAAACACAAAAAACATTATATAACATTAAAAACAATAAACATCGTATATTTATTTACAGGAATTTTATTGATAGGGTATTGGAAGGGTTTAAAAAAACAATGTAGGCCTATGTGTAGGTCTTAAAACGGGAATTTTCATGCACGGAATGAACATTTAACGAGTTGACGAACGTTTATAATAAAAAAAAGTTTTTTTAGCAATTAGACAATAAGAAGATCGCTTACGTATTCTATGAGAAAAAGACTGACAATATTCACTTGGGAAGGTGGTTCTGATATCATCTGGAGATTTTCCGCTCTAATCTGGATATTTATTTACAGGAATTCCATTGATAGGGAAAAAAATATGATAGGGAAATATTGGAAGGGTTCAAAAAAACAATGTCGGCCTATGTGTAAAACGGGAATTTTCATGCACGGAATGAACATTGAACGGGTTGACGAACGTTTAGGCCTATAATAATTTTTGTTTGCCATTGGACAATAAGAGGATCGCTTATACGTATTCTATGAGAAAAAGACTGACAATATTCACTTGAGAAGGTGGTTCTGATAAATAAGAAGACCAGCGAAAATCTGGAGATTTTCCTCTCTAATCTGAAGACATGGAGATGAAGCCCAAAATCTGGAAACTCCAGACTAAATCTGGAAGGTTGGCAAATACAGACGGTTCACATGCACGGCCACCATATATAGCCAGGGCCGCAGCCTGTGTGTGTGTGTGGGGGGGGGGGCAAGGGGGCAGCCGCCTCCTAGATTTTGGAGCAAAATTACAAAATAAGCTTAGCTAATAATCGTAAATAGCCCTAACGTGATTTTTTGGTCACTTATCCGTGAAAGCTTTGTCTAAGACCCACCCCTACCACACTATGGACGTCGATTAAGAACTGCGCCCGCCCCTCATCATTACACAGTTGAGTCATGAAATTTTGCCCCCCCCTAGGAATTTGCTCAGCCTACGGCCCTGATAGCGATCACCTCAGAAAAATGCCACTGACAGAGGAACCGGGAGCTGTGTAGTTGTTATCCCCCAACACTATTTTTATTTCTAGCCGCTATAATGAGACAAATTTTCCTATTGCGAACAGAATATACAGAATATGTATTGTGAAGGACTGGGGCATATGCAGTTTCAGTGAGAATGAGATTATATCATGTGAATAACGAGTGATGCCCGTAGTGGGCTTGCTGACTCTGTTTGGCATGGAGAATCAGACCAGGCTCTACGACAAGCTGTTTTACGTCGTAGGACGTAGGTATAGTCATAGCTGTTGTAGTAGTTCATAATTATAGTAGGGGCCGGGTCTAGTTGTTACGCGGGTAAGTTGTTAGTTGCATTTTCTCAAAAACTGGACAAGAGAGGGCGTTCTACGCTGTATCGAGTGTGTTTTTAGGGCCGTAGATGGAGCAAATTCCTAGGGGGAGGGGGCAAAATTTAATGACTTCACTGTGTAATGATGAGCGACGGGCGCAGATTTTGTTCGGCGTCCGTATTAGTGTGGTAGGGGTGCGTCTGGGACAAGGCTTTCACGGATAAGTGACCAAAAAATCACGTTAGGGTTATTTACGATTATTAGCTAAGCTTATTTTTTAATTTTGCTCCAAAATAGGGGGGGGAGCTGCCCCATTGCCCCCCAGAGACTACGGCCCTGATTTTGGTTGGGTTATAGTCCCTGATGTTACAACGTTTTTTGTACACACGGGGATTGGTTTGTCACTTGGTTGGTTTGAACATTAAAAAAACCTCGTGGGGCAAATTGTTACACTAAAACAACTTACCGGCGGTCACCGCGTATGAGTTTTCCAATGATTTTTCTTATACTTACTTTTATTTTATTTTATTTTATTTTATTTTATTATATTATATTTTATTATTTTTATTTTTATTACTTTTGTTACTTACAGTGAATCATCATGCATGATACATCAGAAAGCGATACATTCATTTGTGAGATTAATTTGCAGCGATGAAATCCTACTTGGCGTTATTTTCTGAGAGGGGATGAAACGACCGAACGAATGCCTGCAACCGTGGCCGTCTTTTATTATATAATGCAGCAATAATACAGTATATTGCGATTGTGAAAACGAGTTTACACGCGAGGCAAACCGTTTTTAAGTCACGCTTCGTTTCCGTATATAAAATGTATCTGACAGGTCACCATGCAGTGAACGAAAGAATCGAGCGACCGTGCACGTCGGCTTGGCGGTCTGCCTATACCGAGATTCTATGCTTGCTGGATGCTATCTAATACAGCCATTAGTTTTGTCCACTAACATTTTGTAGAGATTATTCATGACAATAGGAAAAATTTATTTATTTATTTATTTATTTAATCATTCATTCAATTGTTTGTTTGTTTATTTATTTATTCATTTATAATGCGTGACACCGCTGGTCATATATCGCGTTTAACAATGATTACCACGATCGACCTGGTAAACATATAAATAACCAGCTAGATGTGCAGTTGGATATGAATGGGTGAGATTCGCAAGAAATTCACAGACCTGGCTATGATCCAAAATCACGGCAAATGATTGAAAGGAACAGTGCTATGTGAATAATGCCATGGAATCGGTACACTTGGTTCGCCCAACCGATTAGCCTGTGTTTCTGTTGTCACCGTTCTCATGTCGGATGCAGCGTGCAAATACCACATTGTGACGTAGATGTGGCGTAGAGACAGATAGTCACGCTACATCTGTATGTTGCCCGTTAGTAGCTCCCCATGTTAATTTATACTGCCAGCAGCTATACCCTTGTAATGTATCTCACTGGTAGCTCTACCCTTGCAATGTATCTCACTGGTAGCTCTACCCTTGTAATGTATACCACTGGTAGCTCTGCCCTTGTAATGTATACCACTGGTAGCTCTGCCCTTGCAATGTATACCACTAGTAGCTCTACCCTTGTAAGATATACCGCTAGCAGCTCTACCCTTGTAATGTATACCGCTATAGCAGCTTTATACCCTTGTAATGTATACCGCTGTTAGCTATACCCATGTAATGTATACCGCTATAGCAGCTTTACCCTTGTAATGTATACCACTGGTAGCTCTGCCCTTGCAATGTATACCACTAGTAGCTCTACCCTTGTAAGGTATTATACCGCTAACAGCTCTATACCCTTGTAATGCACACCGCTCGTCACGCTAGTCTTGTGTAAACTCGGGTCGTCCATGTGTGTGACGTATGTGTGTGTGTGTGTGTGTGTGTGTGTGTGTGTGTGTGTGTGTGTGTGTGTGTGTGTGTGTGTGTGTGTGTGTGTATGTGCGTGTGTGTTTGCGTGTGCGTGTACGTGCGTGCGTGCGTGTGTGCGGATTAATCAGATGGAAGCATGAGTAATGATGATTCAGCAGTTTTATTTCTATGTGCTTTACAATCTGTGTCAGTATATAGACGGCGGAAGCAAAATTCGAAGATAGTCGGCCATTTACTAGTAGACTGATAACCTGGCTACACGTCGTCACTTGTAACACGGAATCGTGAAGCCGGCATATGGAACGAATGTCAGGCGGGAAAAACGTGTTTCGTTCGACAGGGGACGCATGACTGCGTTTATCATACCTCAACCCTAGATTCCGCGCGCGAGCCGCTGTCCCGAGCGTTTCTGGCAGCCGGCAACCAGAAAGGTGGAGTGAAGAATAGGTCGTTAGATCGAGTTATAGATATTTACACTGTACTTTGTATAATTATATATCTATGGTTAGAGTTACGTATATGAGTACCTGAATAAGTTGTACCTATATATGCATGTGAATGTATACACCCACATCCGGGCGCACACGTGCGCGCACACACATCTGTGTCAGTGTAGACGGCCGAAGCAAAAGCGGAGATACTCGGCCATTTACTAGTACTAGCTAGACTGATACTCGGGCTAAGTATTTTAAATTTCATAGCGGAATTTGCATTTGAAATAAGCGAGGGGCGACCTGTTCTTAAATCACGCTTAGTGGCCGTGCCAAAAATGTACTTGACAGAATACCAGTGAAAAGGAGCAGCGACCGTGCACGTCTGCTTGGCGGTCTGCCTATATACCGAAATGCTATGCTTGCTGGTGCTGAAGCCGTTAGTTTCATCCACTAACACTTTGTTGAGATTATTCATGACAATTCGATTTATTTATTTATTTATTAATAATGCGTGATAGCGATAATCGTATAGCGTTTAAATTGACTATACGTCACGAATTTTCTATGGTAAAATTTGTAAAATGTGTGTTGCAATTTTTTGTCATTAAAAGTAAGAACTAACGGGAATAAACGTATCGTCAAATTCTTACCTGATAAAATTGTTTTTCAACTAGTTAAAAATCCAAAAAACCTGGACGATTTGATATTATGTTCCTAACATCAATTGCTTGCTATGGGCTATGTATGAGTCACGAGTGTATGTTCAAATCAAACAATATAGTAAAATAAGAAGTATAATGCAGCAATTTAACCATAAAAAGTGAACAGAATTACTTATATTTCGTGAAAAAGTGGAAATATTTTGTTTATTTGTACTATTTACGGTGACGTAATAATTACCACGATCGACTTGGTGAACATAGATGACCAGCTAGATGTGCAGTTCTTTTGCCGCTACGTGGGAAGCCAGGACGTACGCGTGCAGGAAGTGGAAATGCAATGCGTGAGATTCGCAAGAGATTCACAGACCTATGATCCAGAAATCACGGCAAATGATTCAAAGGAATATAATATATAATATAATAGTAATAATATAAATAATATATATATATAATAATATAATATGATATAATAGTGCGATGTGAATAATGCCATGGCATCGGTACACTTGGTTCGCCCAACCGATTAGCCTGTGTTTCACCGTTCTCATGTCGGATGCAGCGTGCAAATATCACATAGTGACGTAGAAGTGGCGTAGAGACAGATAGTCACGCGACATCTGTATGTTGCCCGTTAGTAGCTCTATACCATGTTAATTTATACTGCCAGCACATTTACCCTTGTAATGTATACCACTGGTAGCTCTGCCCTTGTAATGTATACCACTAGTAGCTCTACCCTTGTAAGGTATACCGCTAGCAGCTCTACCCTTGTAATGCACACCGCTCGTCACGCTAGTCTTGTGTAAACTCGGGCCGTCCATTCCATCCTATGCGGATAGGTCGCCGGGGGAAGTTGACGTACTCAGGATCCCATTCCATCACCAGCGGAGAATCACACGTTCCCGTCGTCTGCGTCTTCTCCTTGTAGTTCATTCCCAACTCACGGTGGTTACAGGTGAACGCAGCGCGCCCTGGTATCCGCGGGTATATGGTGTAGAGACCTTGGTGCCACAAGTAGTAGACCATGTACGACTCGGGCATCGAGCGCCGCTGCACGTGCGCCGTCGCCACCCACTCGTTCGTGATGAGCCTCTTATTGGGGATATACGGTATAAAGTCTCCCGTGCCGTTCGCCGACCAGACCGTGTGCACCCATTTCCGGAATTTGCGCCACTGATTCGGAAGTGGTGCAGCGCCCCCTGTCGCGAAGAGACGGTAGGCGAACACCGGGTCGGTGCATTTGTGACATATGCGACCGGCTCTGCCGGTAGTGACGACGAGAATGCCGCGCTGCAGCGCCACGCTAAACACGGACGCGTCGTCGGCGTAGAATTGCAGAGCCGCCTTCAGCCAGCGGTAGAAGAACGGCGACAGTTCGTTGTCGTCTTCTATGATGACGGCGTAGTGCCCCGGTCGGTCGGTCTGCTGCCAGCAGTCGTACCACTGCGCGTACATGCCGACATTGTGCGCATGCGCGACGACGCTCGTCGATCCATTCGGGAACTTGAACTCCTTCGCCGCGCGCACGCAAGCTTCGTGTTCTGGCCGCCGGGTGGCGTTGCGCGGAAAGTCGACGCACACGCGCAGCGCGACTCTGTCGCCGTCATAATGGGCGGCGCGTATAGACTTCAGGAGGCGCTGCAGGCTGTGCGGACGGTCGGCACTGAGCACGATCAGCTGCAGGTGAAATGTCTGCGCGTCGCTGCTGCTGCTGCTGCTGCTGCTGCTTTCTGTCGGCGGCATTTGGTGAAACACGCTATGCATGATGATGAGAATCAATGCGGTTGCTAAAGCGACGATGTAGAATTTACACCTCATGTCGTCAAATGTAACACGGCTTCACAGGACAGGTAACACGACGTCACATGCAGGCAACACGCCGTCACAGGAACACGTCGTCACAGCGAATGGATCGTGGAGGCGGCCGATGGAAAGAATGGCAGGCGAGCGAAACGTGTTTGGTTCGCCAGGGGACGCATGACTGCTGTTTTAAACTAACTGGCATGGAGGTATATTGTACCGTGAAAGAGGTCGTTGATCTCTGCTCCGGACTCGTAGCAGTGTATAGTTAGCAAATGGTAGAGATGTTTCGTAGTGTCACGCATCAGGATAGAGCAATACAGCGTAGTCTTGTAACAAACAGTATAGATGATGTAGTCGCAGAATTTGTTCTTAAATACTGACTTTATTAGTAAACACAATACAAATATATTTAGGCACCCAAGCCTAGGCCTCGTTTCTCGTCTTCGTCTGCTACATCTTGATAGAAAAGTCCAGGTAATAACTCACGTTTGATCTGGGTAATGACTAACGTATCTCCTCTGGGAAATAACTAACTTATGATCTTTCGTCCGTGTCTATTTATACGTTTCCGAAACTGGCCGGCGACATCTCAATCCGACCAGTTTTCGTCATTACCGGCTGGATTTTGGCGGGGAGGCTACGCATATATATATCGCGCCCTTGTCATTACAAAAACAACAACGAATACCAGGCCAGAGCACAGTCCCACTGCTTCGCCTGGCTAGAAGCGCCCCTGGTTAATTATAACGCACAATGTACAATACAACATATATGATACATCAGATAGCACGTGCGTGTGTGCGTGCGTGCGCGCGCGCGCGCGTGTGTGTGTGTGTGTGTGTGTGTGTGTGTGTGTGTGTGTGTGTGTGTGTGTGTGTGTGTGTGTATACGTGTGTGTGAGTATGTGTGTGTATGTATGTGCGTGCGGGTGCCTATATGCCTGTGTATGCTTACGTACGCGCGTGTGTGTGTAGATCACGTTGCTCTATAGTTGAGCTGTTGTTGCTTCTAATTGGTGATTTTTATGGCAGTATCGTAAAACAACTCATGTCAATTACACGATTAATTAAGATTAAAATTAATTCATTAAGATTGCAAGATTAAAATCTCCTCGTTATTCTATATAATTTAATAACCATGATAGCATTTTTTTGCTATAAAACCCATTTTTTATTGAAATAATTATGATACGATGGTGTCATTGCTGCAAGTACTTTTCTGTTACTAAATTGTAATATTTTAACAGTTTTTACACTATCCATAATTTTTTTATCAGTATCTAGCACATGTGCTCGTATTTGAATTATATGAATTAAAAGATTTAATTATATATATATATATATTTATATAGTATATATATATAGATAGATTATATACATATATATTATATATGTATATATGTATTACTATTATAGTAGATATATAATATATTATATATAGAATATATATATAAGTACCAAAAAGATACTACAACATTATACTCCTGAATGATAATTTAACAGTACATAGGCGGCGTCGGACATAAAATTAGAACAATTACGTGTAACATAAACAAGCAGACAAATAATGTGCCACACAATTCATGCAATTCAGGAATAGATATATACCTATGCTGTTCATAGTTAACATAGACTAAGAATACAAGACAACCACTTATCGCTATATATACTAACTCTAGTCTCTATGTTAGTATAAATCAACAGGGCCCGTAAGGAAGGGGGGTGCGACGGGTGCGCGCGCACACTGGCTGCGGAGGTCCACTTTTTTGTGCCAACGATTTAAAAGAAAGTGAATTAATAAAAAAAGAGGCATCGTTTGCGTCTATTCGCTGATTGTGGGAGTATAAATGTAATAAATAAGCAAAGAAAAAATTACAACGATTTTTAGGGAAACATAAAGCTATAGCCTGGGATTATATTTTATTTTATTATATTTATTAATTTTATTAATTTTATAATATATTTAATTTAAGCCTGGTTTTTATCATTTTATTTCATATACATTCAATCACGAAAATTTCAACAGGTATACATATATACGCGCGCGCACGCGCACACACACACACACACACACACACACACACACACACACCACACACACACTACACACGACACTACACACACACGACGCGCGCACACACACACACACACACACACACACACACACACACACACACATGCACACACACACACACGCGCGCGCGCACGCACGCATGCACACATGCACACACTCCTACATATATAGTATTACAACACTAAGAATAGTATCAGGCCGTAATCACGACGTGGATATTCGTCCGAGCATCGGTCATTAACCCCTGATAGTGATAGTGTCAAGAGTACGGTACATAATAGAGATTTCTATGATCAGCTATTATGTACTTTTGATAGTATCAGCTGAGAACAATAATTATTGTTCTGAGTGTTCTCAGAGTCAGAGTATCAGGCATACTCATACTCATAGGTATCAGCATGCTCTGCTGGTATCAGGAGTGTTTGTACGCACCCGGCAGATAGGTGCGATATGATATGACTACTAGGCACTTAAAAAAAAACCCTAACCCTAACCTTAAACCTAAAAAATAAAAAAAATTTAATTAAAGTGCCTAGTAGTCATATCATATCGAACCTTTCTGCCTTCTGCGTTTGTACACGCATGCTGACGTCACTTCCTCCTAAGCCTCGATCTCGATCTGTTTCTAGACTAGACTTCCTGCGAAAGAAAACCCTGCCTAGATGGGTTCCTTACCTCTACCATGTGGCGATAGATACTTTATCTTTATTTAGAGCACAGTCAGGTAACTCATCTAGGGCCCGCTAGGCTGCGAGGCTAAGCAACAATAGCAACAACATTGAACCTATGGCTATTGAACATAGACTAAGCAGAGTATTTATTAGTATTAATAATTTATATTAGTATTATTATACTATTTATAAGTTTTTTTATAAGTTATGATTATTAGTCTTAGCTCTAGTACTAGTAGTAGTAGTACAGCCCGCGTACAGTTGCCGCTAGAAGCCTAGATACAATAATGTAACCCAAACCCAAGAGGATAGGTTCCCTACCCCCTATCCTCTTGGGTTTGGGTTACATTATTGTATCTAAGTTGCCGCAGGTAGTAGAGACTTTACTTTACTAGTCTTACTTTTGGCTGTTGCTGCTGCAACGGTACCGTCGCCGATTTTTTTTCTCTTAAAGTCACGGTAGTGATGCCAGCGCCATCTATCGGCGACAGGTATTACAGGTAGGACCCTAACCCTAACCCTAACCCTAACCCTAACCCTAACCCTAACCCTAACCCTAACCCTAACCCTAACCCTAACCCTAACCCTTTTTGACGACAGGTAGCGCTCGTTGCGCTTATCAACCAATCAGGCGTCAGTACCGTGACTTTAAGAGAAAAAAAATCGGCGACGGTACCGTTGCAGCAGCAACTTCGTTTACTTTTACTTAGAGTAGTCCGAGATTCCTCTGTCTGACCAATGCCCACACGGACGATTTTGAATTTTTGGTGGATTTGGTGTAGGTTACCCCTAACCCTAAACCTAACCCTAACCCTTATCCTAACCCTAACCATATATCAAATAGTGACCAGGGTATGTTTCTGTATACCGGACCATACCCAGGGTACGTTCCGGCAGTACCCTGGGGGACATGGACCCTATGACTATGACTATGAGCCTTACTAACGCTGAGAGGGTCTATGTCCCCTGGGGTACTGCCGGAACGTAACCTGGGTACGGTCCGGTATACCGGAACGTACCCTGGTACTATCTAATATGCCGGACCGTCTGCCTGACAGTATATAACTTCTATACCGTCCATATCACAGCTGACCCAAGATTATTTAACATTCATGTGCATGAGTACATCAGTAACAGTATCACCAGAAGCAAGCAACTCTAAATTGACACTGTTTGTAAAGTATGACAATTTCTTACAACTTCAGATTTCAAAGCCATTTGGTAATCTACACGATCATTGAGTCGGCAGCCAGTGCCAGACAGCAATACTGTCAAAGTAGGCATAGCAACGTTCACACTGGTTATGATGGAGCAGCTGAGGTGGTTACCATGGAAGATTACAAAGAAAGCAGAAGTGGTGGTCAGGTCGTTTTAAGAAAAGCAACAGCGGAACGTGAACAGAACGAAAAAGATGGTAACAGTGGCAACTGGAAGCTAAATCGATCCATGTGATGTTTCTCGGGAAAATGTGTTCAGCATAAATGGCTGATGAATATTACGATTATTGAAGTCCCATATATTAGAGAAATTTTCCCGTGTGATGCTCTGAGAAGGGGTAGTCTTTTGTGGCAAATATACAGATGAGTGTAGAAGTTTTAATCCATTAATCACTAGTGAGTCGTGTGTGTGTATTTCATATTCTAGATACTGCGAGTTACTCGTCATCGGAATATTTGTGCTACAGGGATGATGGTGATTTGAATGTCAGATATTTTCTTAAAGATGCAGATATATAATTCGTGATTCAAATTTTATTTCTTTTGATATGTGCGAAGGAAACCGAAAAAGGAGTAGCAGAAGCAAACATGAGGGGAAATATGGTTAATTTCTCTCATGAGGCATTGGCCAGGCAACTGCAGGAGAAAGCAGAACTCGTCTGTATTGGAATGGCCCCTGGTGACCAGTCGTACAGGCCAAACTATCTGCCACCAGAGGAAGACTGCTGCACTCGTGGAGACAATGAGACATGTAAACATGATAAGTCAATAACAGCCTAATCTTATCCACATGGTTTTAAAAAGTTCTATATAGATGTTTTTATCTGTACAATTTCCCGTAGAATGAAATATTATTGTAGGTCTCACTTGAGGTGGCGGCGTGAGTAAGACATTGCTCATACAACTCGGGCAAGTGTGACCACTCTGTAGCAAAGTCTGTCATTCACCAATGTCTAACGTCTACCCTTAAGTTTTGTTGAACCACAGGAGTGCATCTTTGCCATTTATTACTCATTACTGTTACACACCTTTCTTAGCAACATTATAACAGTGTGATTTCTAATTGCAGCTGATAATACATCTACTGAGAGCATCCAGCAGGTTGCAAAGACGGGATATAGACCAGGCCTAGGCCGTCATCAATTGAATATAAACAATGGCGAGCAGGAGAAGAATTCTATGGAGTGCCCCATGGAAGGATGCACTAAGACCTTCACCTGGCCTGCCCATCGCAAGTACCATCTTCTCACTCACAGGTACTAACTAGACAGAGTGCACTCACGGAGTGCATACCTTCGCCAGCGACATACGCCATACGACTCACGAACACACGAATAACCCACGATATACGCCAGCGTACTGACACGTACACGCTCCCATGTAACATGTATGTGTTATGAGCTGGCTCGCTGGGCTCGCTGGCTTGCTGACTCGCTGGCTCGCTGGGTGATATCGATCAACCGCCAACGACATACGCCATATGACTCGACGTGCTAATATCGATCGCGCGAACACACGAACACACGAGAGCGAAAACATAACCTCCTCCAACTCCGTTGGGCGGAGGTAAACATATGCAGTCAAGCCCATGTCAGCAGCCACCTCCACAAAACAGCCACATTTGACATTTCCCTTGAGAGGCAACTATACAGTGGAATTACTGAATAATGGCCTCCTGTCCATAGTTACTACTTTTGCTGTTTCCTTTGATTGGCCATTATATACAGGTTTGACTATCTATATAGCCTATTATATATGTCAGACTAACAAACAGCTGACTCATTGATTTACATTTAACACTGCATGATTATTTGCAATGATTAAGTTTTGGAAGCGTATTTTTCATTTGTGTGGCATAGTGGGATTAATATCGTTGTTTATCAAAACTATGTTCAACCTTGTTTTGCCGCACAGACTTGAAATTTCTCATACAAGTGGTAATGCCCTTGATCCAATATTGTTATATCTAGTTGGTCAGGTCAACCTAGGTGTTATATCTAGTCAGGTGAGGATCTTGCTATACAGTTATAGTGAATCCTTCCTTAGAACCTTGCGTGGAGTTCTTTCCTTGCTCAAGATGGCTTTATTTGATTGCTTTTTATATTTTAATTACTTGTTTTTTTATTTCACATACATTTTTAGCTCACCTTGACATCGTCAAGATGAGCTATTGCCATGGGGTGTCGTCCGTCGTACGTCCGTACGTTCGTCCTTCTGTCTGTCCGTCCGTCCGTCTGTCCATCAACATTTGGCTACAGTCAACGATAACTTGAGAACCGTTTGACCCACATGTTTCAAATTGTATACAGTTGTTACTCTTATGGGAGAGATGTGAACGTCCTATTTTGGAGCATGCTAGTTGACCTACTTTCGAGTCACGTCCACTTTTTGGCAAAAATATAAATGGCCATAAGTCAGTTCAGGTTCAACGGATTTTGCTCATTTTTGGTATGTGAATGAATAAGGAGTGACCCCAAAACATATCACAGGGGTTTTAATATTTCTAAAAAATTATGCAAATTAGGTAGATTTTGGCAGCTTCACTATGCATTTCAGTGTCTGCCTACGGTCAACGATAACTCAAAACCCGTTTGACCCACATGTTTTAAATTGCATATAGTTGTTACTCCTATGGGAGGGATTTGAACGTCCTATTTTGGAGCACGCCAGTCGACCTACTTTCGAGGCACGCCCGCTTTTTGGCAAAAATGGAAATGGCCATCTAGATTTATTCGATTTTGTTAAATTTACCTAACCTACCTACCTACCTAATCATACCTACGTGTAATATTGTGTTTTAGATTCTTTGTTGCAGTAATTTGACTGGAATAGTTTATTGCTTTTATTTGCACGATAATCGAAAACCAAAATGGCGATCATTTAGGCGTAGCGCCATCTCTCTCTCTCAGATTTCAGACTTTCAGATCTGAAACATTTATTTTCGCATCAGAACTAACCCTGAAACAAAACAAGAAAATTTCTATTAGTATAAAACGGGGAGTAAGGACATTTGATCACATTTCCGTCCGTCATAAATGAAACACTTACCAAATTTTAAATATCATCTCCCTCTTCTATCACACCCAAGGTGAGCTACAGTGTCATTGACACTTTCATTAATAGTAGTGTTGTATATGTTTTGTTCTTGGTATCTCTCAAGCAATAACAGAGCTTACCAGTGCTCACTGGACACGTGTGCGAGAAGCTTCTATACCTTGCAGCGCCTTAAGGTGCATATGCAGGTGCACACGGGAGAACGGCCTTTCTCATGCACACACAAGGGCTGTGGCAAGCAATTTTCCACCCAGGGTAACCTGCAGAATCACCTGAGAACACATTCTGGTCAGTGAATTCTTGTGCGCACCTATATCTATGAATGCATGCATATTGAATATGTGCAATATTTCAATGTAATTATGATCATGGTAATAGATAAAGATAAAGGATGTGTGTTGAAAACGTATGGCAGTGTAGCATGTTATGAGTTATTGGAAGGCATTACATTGCTGCAGGTGGGAGAAAAATCTCATATAAAATTTATTATTAAATATGTACAGATAAATCCTTCAAATTCGAACGAAAAGATTTGTATATGTAAAATTCATAAAAAAACCATGCAGTAAGTCCACTGTATAATATTTGATGAATGCGGCAATTAACGTAATTGCCATGAAATGGTGGTTTCCATGTAGTCTGTAAATATTTAGTCGTTATCATCTGGGCAGGTTGTCGAGGAGCCTAGAGGCCTCTATAACAAATGGAAATAAAGCCATATCTGTTGTGCTATATAAGGTTTATATGAAAACCAATAGAGACGAATTATAACATGTATTAATGAAACATTTGTGTTTGTCTTATTGTAGGAGAAAAGCCATTTGCCTGTTCACAGGAGGGCTGTAGTATGAGCTTTGCTGAGCGTTCTAGTCTAAGAAAGCACATGCTCGTTCATACTGGTGAGTACTTATTTACTGCAATATTTATGTAATTGTCGCAATGAACTATTGATTCCAGGAAAAAAATCACAGATGGTGTCATGTTGAGTTCCTTGAGTCTTCGTATGACAGGTTGCTTGCTGTTGTTTTAGTGAAGGCTGGAATCTTGGTGACCTTTGATGCCGATAGCACGATTGACGAGTGCTATTTTATTAAACTTTTACTGATCCGTTTAGTTGCCTGTATAGCATAACGGTGTCCAGCGGTCATCTTACGTGAGGCTCTCCCATATAGGTGAGAAGCCGTACGTGTGTGATTTGTGCGGCAAACACTTCTCACAGAGTGGAAGTCGCAACCAGCACATGAAGCGTTGCGTCGGGCACGTATCCCCGCGCTTTGCCGCAGCGAAGACTGGCGCCAACAAGCGCAGGCAGGCAGACGATGGTAGCGCCACCATGGTTCCAACGTTTTTCGCTCTGCCGCTGGCGGATTCCACTCGGATTCTCATTGTACAGCAAGCTGAGAACGATGTCTTCCACGTCCAGGGTGAGCGAGTGATGCTGCTCGATGTGACGGGGTTGGCAACGATTTACCAATACATTGATCATGATTATGATACAAACCTTGATGATACACGTTACATATGTCAATGTTCGTGTGTGCGTGCGTGCGTGCATGCGTGTGCATGTACGCGTGTGTGCGGGTGGGGGTGGTAGGATGGGCGCATATATGAATGCATGCATGGGCACATGTGCATACGCACACGTGTGCGTGCGTGCGTATGTAGTTTAGTAATGACACTAATGTGGTATCATCTTGTAACAAAAGAAACATTACACAATGCAGTTTTGCACAATTAGAGATTCCTGCATTCATTCCATGGTACAGGTGACACTAGCATGATTCTCATGATTGGTCTAGTATTTTCTTGTATTATTGTCTTACATTATTCATAGTTTGGTTTTCTATAATGTACACATAAGTTTAATCTAGCATTTTATCTGTTAATATTTCTCTTAAACGTTTCTATTGAAACTATCATGATATATCGTTGGTACTTCATAACACACTTATAGCTTAGCTCAGTAACGTGGCAGGACCAAATGGTTTGGTTTATTGAATCAAGCAAACACAGCTGATTATTAGGTACGCTGTATATTTCGCAGTGGTTTAATTTTCGCGAATTTCGCAAACGCGTTCCCGACCGCGAACATAACAACACGTGAATAATTCATACCAAATAATACCGAATAATTCATAATTCACCGACCGCGAAATTAACCACTCGTGAAATTGTCCGTCAAGTCTGAATTCGCAAAAATATCTGTACTCGAAAAATATGGCGTATACAGTAGTACATTCTTTAAAATTACATGCATAACGTTACTTAATTTGACTGACAATCAGACATGGCTTTCGATGGTTATCGTTGTTCGCTTTCCAGTTTGTGATCTTGTTGATAAGTAATGTGTCATATAAGCTATCTTCATCACACCCCATCAACCTAGACCCTTTTTTTACCTTAGACCTCACCACCGGTACAAGAGAGTCGGTCATTCTGACAGGCAACACTGAGCCTGTGTCGTCACCTGTGTCAGAGCCACTGGTACACACCCCACCACACCCGTGCCCTCACCACATACTGGGAGCTGAAGGTAAAATAACAATATTACAACAATAATAATAATAATAATAATAATAATAACAATTAGCTGAGGTGTAAGAACAACAATATACAGCAGGCACATAGCAGTGCATGTTTAGCGCAGCGTGGGCCAGCACACTTTAGCATGGTATGGCAGTGGAGTATGACAATACAGCACAGCAGAGGCAGTGCACAATATGGGCATCATAGTACCAGGAGTAAAATATTTTATCATAAGTTTTTGTAATTAGTAGTACTATACGTCATTATTTTGCTCCTGATAGTACAATACTACACTGTTTGTCTGCCACTGTTTGTCTGCCAATGTTTGTCTGCCACTGTTAAGTCATTGTAAGTGGTTATTGGTATAATCTCAAAATTGTTTCCATTTTTCAAACTTTCTTACGTACTGGCTTTTCCAGAAGTGTTGTTGCCAGCAGCAGAGAGCATCGTTGATGATGTGACAGACACACAGCTGGCATTATCACAGCAATCCTACTCGAACGTTGTCGTTGTAACGGAGCCCCACCTGGTGGCGATGGACGCAGAATACGGACACCAGCCGACGTCAGACATGGAATACCAGCAGCACGAGATTCTCGATACAGGTCGTGAGGAAATTCTCATTGCTCAAGACGTGCCCATCATGCAGACAGACGACAGCGAGTCTATAGCTGATGCCACGATACCAAAGGATCACGGCATAGCTGAGCACGACGGGATGCCCACCAGTCACGTTATGGTAGCAGACGACAACGTATGCACTAGTGACGACGGCTTCTTGAATTACGAGCCACTGATGGCGACAACGAACACGAATCTTTAGCGAGTCGTGACAATAGGAATGAAAGGAGTATGAAAAGAGATAGAACAATTGCGGAAGCAAACCACTTGCTGTGTTACATGTTTAATACAACTGTTTCAGGCAAGATGCTAATGCTCGAAATTAAAAAGGAGAAACTTCGGACGAAAGTATTGTGAATAATTATACATATTAGAGTTTATTGGAGTGAACAGATTAAATACTATGGTTTCATCATGAAATGTAAAGAAGTTTACGTTATTAAAATTATTTATTATTTCTAAAAAAGGAAACATGGTAAATGAGGAATAATTTGGTGGTAGAATTATGCTCAAGACTGGGTAAACACTGTACTCGCAACAATCCATTGGTATGTGGAATATAATTACCTGAAATATTGGTTTATATGCACAAAAGCAATTAGGAATGTGTGTATTTCAGACATGTGGATCCATTGTGAGGGTGCCATTTATCAGCCAATGGGAAGACAAAAAATGACAAAAAACGTCAGCACCTATTACCCCATGTATATCCTGCATATATAGATAATCATCCACAGGGCATGATATTCCTACACTTTTATGCACACATGGTACTATAACTAAATCCTTGACATAGAATTGATCATCATTAGCTACTGTCTGAATATATATATATATATATATATATATATATATATATATATATATATATATATATATATAAAACGTATTTACATCTCCATATATACATATTATGTCATAACATATTCCAATGTCCCTGTATCTGAATGGATCAATGACATACACTTCTCATATTATCCCAAGTCAGTGGACAGAGAAGATTAATTTTATATGTTTTTACTCAATATCTGAATGACATTACCTGACGAAGGAAAATATAGTGTATGGCACACAATTACAGTATATATATACACTATACTTTGCACTAACACCTGGCGTGGGTAGCACTTCAGCAATACACTCCTATTACTGATATCAGTAGTGAATAAAATCAATCACTCCTGATGACATTATTGCATAGCTATCCAGACTCATTTAGTGAAGTTCACACATCGCCTGACCGATTCAGCAGTTACAGTATGCAGTATCGGTTCTATATTCCCATGCATTGCCCCAAAACCCGGCACACAGGAAGCCTCCGGGTCCCCTGGCCGCCGTCTCCGGTCCCGTGACGACAAAGTCCGGCACCTGGTTGCTGAACGGCGACCTGGCCATCGGCGGAATGGTCGGCATCGCCAGCTTGACAACGTCCTCTAGTCCCGCGGGAGAGTTCCCCGCGAGCACGAGCGCGAGCCCGTGCCTCCCGCCTGGCGCCAGCGTCAGGACGCCCGTTCTCGCCGCGTCAAAGCTGCATGCGGCGAGCCGGATCGATCCCGGCGCGACGACGAGCTGCGGGAGCGCGGCGAGCAGCCTCGCGGCGTGCGCGTTCTCGTGCGGGCCGCCAACGACGACGAGGTTCGCGTCGTCCGCGTCCACCGAGGAGAGGTCGACGTCTCGCACGACCACGGCGACGCCGTCCGACGTCATGTAGAAGAGATTGGCGAGCAGGACGGCGTACCGCAGCAGGAGGGGGCCACTCGTGCCCCCGGTTCCCGCAACGATGATGAACCGCTTCTCGGCTACCCGCCGCGCTGGTCCGTACTGCTGCCACTCCCGATTTACAGTCGTCAGTTTACCGCTAGTGGGCGTGTTAGCGGCGTCGGTGTCAGATTCGGCTGCATTCTCACTAGAAGGCTCTGATGTTGTACCACCAGGTGGGATTTCGTAGATGCAGGATTCCCAGGTATGATCCTGCCCATGCTGATAGCATATGTCTTCATCGTCTGCATCGACGACATCAAGCCTGATGCCGTCTAGATAGAGTTTCTCTATGCCATCCCACATAGGACGGGTGCCACGCTCGATGTGGAATTTCGCCACATTTATTGTAGTAATATTGACCATTTTGCCATGCACTGCCACGCGCAGTTTGCTAGTCCTCATGGGGGTTTCTTGTTGAATGATCTTGACACCTTCCATGCTTTCAAAATCTGCTGGATTGGTGACTGTATACGTGAACTCGTACCTCCTCCCCATGTTGGCTGCTTCAGTGTACCTAAGTTGGAGAATGACAATTTTAACACTTCTCTCCTACTTATGGTAATAATGTAGTAAGGTAGCATAGCTATCACAAATGTTACGAACGAGGACCGATCTTACACTACTGCGGCACTTGCCTGTTACTTGAAGGTTCACTGCAAGCTGCATCCGTGCAGCTCTGCTGCGGATCAGTCATCATCACTGAGCTCATGAACTGACGAAGCTGTGCGTCGTTCACGACTCCACCATCGTTCTCCGCCCTGAACAATGCGATAACACTTAACAATCGAGATTGTAGTATTTACCCCTCAGTAAAAATAGAAGCTAGATAGATTTAATCAAAAGTCGTTACGCCTGGCAGTTTTCCGAACGCGTGCATTCCAGGACCCATCGTTAATTCATGCCATTCTTACCAAGTATCCCACCACCAGTGTTCCTTCCCGGGAAGCTCTACATAAGTGACATTAGTTCCTTGCTCCTTCAGCACCCTGTACATCCTCCTGCTGTAGTACGGATGCACGGTCCTATCGTTTCCACCTGCAACACGAACGCAAATGTGATTTCACTACAAAGGCAGAGTCTTCAACGAAGAAATGTTGTTTTGCAAAGGTTCCACCAACAATGTCCCTCAATTACCCGTAGCGACTTGTGAGCACCCTACACAATGTATACATGCTGCCACCTGTGAAGACTGATCACTTAAAGTTTCATCATTCTGCATCTATCTGTTCATTATCATCACATCTACTTGACCGCAACTGTTTCACTAAGTAACTGTGAAAGATCATTAACACCACGTAGGGGGCGCTGATATCTAACAACATCAACCGATGCGAGCAATCAAGCAGTTCTGGTTCAGCGGACATGCGACATCCTCCGTGTTTATCAGGCGCAGCACGGCCTGCACTCACCGACGCGTATCATCACGGGTTTGTGACGGATGTTGCCGGCATGGCGCTCGGCGTCACACGTCGTCACGCAGCTCTCGAGGATCGCCTTCAGGAATGGATCGACGTCGGCCGCGGCGACGTCGTGACGCATGAACAGGTTGCTGTCCCCGTAGTCCTCCTTCCGGATCCAGCCTGTGGGAAGACCGGGCACCAGGATCAAGAGCCATCCATCTCTCTATCTCCTCATCTACCTGATCTTCGGCATTATCTAATCTAATCGTAATAAATAAACTAAGATCTGACCGTAATCTCTCACCTGCCAAGGAGACGACCGCCAGCGCCCTGTCTGTGTAATGTGTTGCCACCTGCCACGCCCCATGCCCGCCCATCGAATGCCCTGCAAACACAACTCGATGAGCGCTCGCCTTCTGCTCAATCCACGCGTGTCGCGCCGTGAGGTCGGCGAGCGCGCTTAACGCCGTCACGGCGGTCAGCATGCCGGGCCCTTCCCAGTTGTGCGCGCCGTGCCGCGTCGGCGCCAGCACCCAGCCGCGCTCGACGCCAAACTCGTAGCGGCCGCCGACGCCACGCTTGTGTGCGTCGGCCTGGTCGCGCGCGCTCACGGACGTGCCGTGCAGCGTGAGCAGCGTCGGGCACGCCGCGATGCCGCAGTCAGCGAGCGGGGCGACGGCCGCCGCGTGCTGCGTCGAGCCGTCGTGGTCCGCGAACGTGAACACGAACGACTGGGAGCGCGCGCGGCACCGCAGCGTCGCTCGGCAGGTGGCGCCGCCGAGGTTGGTCGCGACGGCGAGCGTGAGCGTGACGTCGGCGCACCGTGCGCCGCGCGGCGCCGCGGAGGTTCTCGCGACGCGCGCGCTGACGAGCCGGTGCTGGCCGGGCGCGACGCGCAGATCCCCGCGGAAACTGCTCACGGCATTCGTGACGAATCCGCTCGTTCCCTCGACCGTGATCGCGACGCCGTCGATCCACTCGGTCGGGTGAAGGTTGCGCACGGGCACGACGATGTACTCGCTCACCAGCACGCCGTCGTACAGGTCGGGCGCGAACGGCGGGTCAAGCGCCCGCACGAATCCTCGGTCGCGAGTCTCGACGCCGCAGCGGAAGGCGAGGTGCGGGTTCGCGCGCAGCTTCGCGTAGACAGTGTGCAGGCCGGCGTCGAGGCGCGCGGGGAACCACAGGTGCGCGCAGCGGTACACGTCACCGACGTGCAGCGCGTCGTCCACGTAGAAGTAGGAGACGCCGAGGCACTGCACGACGAACGCTCCCGGCCTGCCGACGACGAAGCTGCCGACGGCCCAGCCCTGCCACTCCGTCACGCCCATGGACTGTAGCGAGGAGACAAGCTCGTTCCAGTTCTCGCTCAGGTCGACGTTCAACCAGCCTCCGCTCGCTCGCATCGCACTCCAGGCGACCTCACCTGCCACGGCCAACTCCGAGAAGTACTTGACGCTCGAGTTGAATCTGTCGCGGCCGGCCGTGTGAACACTGCCGAATCGTTCCACCGGATCGCCATCGGTCTCTGCCTTGCCGATCTGGAATGGTCCGAGGAACATCCAACGGCCGAACGCGACCTTCTGTGCCGACACCAGCGGAATTTCCTTGATGAGACGAGATAGATCATCCGAGTCATCATCGTGACCCAATTCCCTGAGTACGTGAGCTAGTAAGGCGAGTGAGTTTACTGACGGAGAAGAAGAGGATCCTTGTAATTCTCCAGTGAGAGAATTCAAGAGGCAGGAACCAGCCTTCTCAAACTGAAAATATTACATATCTTTAGCCACGTGCATGCTCTAGACAATAAAAGAACACTAATGCGACACATAGCTCAAAATTATATCTAGTAGCAGAAATAGCAGTGTTGTTATAATGATTTGATATTATACTAGAACGAACTGATTCATACCGCTTGTGAAACGATAAGCTGAATAACTTTATCTTGATCAGCATTCCCATCTCTAGTGCAGAGATGTGGTGGAAAGAGTTGGGTATGATGTTGAAGCGTTCCTAACAGTTTCTCGGTCTGAAACTAAACACCAGCTGGTAAGCAATACTGCATGCATACATGCACACATGGCGCATGAGTATATTAGGGTGAAAGGAGGGTTGAACTGGTCGACGGGTTTTAGATTATTCAGGAGGATTGAGGTAAAGTAAGGAAGGTGGATGAGCTAAGAGTAAGAAAAAGAGAAAATGGTGCACGTGGAATTCTATCTTGAAGCTTTTGGATTCTTAGAATTATTTGTGCAGGTGAAATTGTATCCTAACATTTTTTGGTCCTACGGGCCTATACCTCTACGCAGACAAAAACGGCCATTCACACGTGGATAAGGTCAAAGTTGAGAAGAAGAATCGAAGTAACCGAAGATGAGAGGACAACCTGCACACATGTACAAACGCACTCCACCTCTCCCATTTCCTATCTTTCGATAAATCTCTCCGTTCTGCTTTCAATTAACGGTCTGGTCCCTTCAGTGTAAATCCTGGATGCTAATCTAGGATTGGGCCCCTTCCTCAGACACTACATTCCTCCTTCTCAACCTCATCCTCTTGAACTCTTCCACTACAAATCCTATACCTCCGCCTGCTACAGCTAGGTGCACTTGCCCTTTCTTCGTGTCCCTGTTCACCCCTCTAGCCCTGCCTCCAGCGTTGCTAAGGCTGCTACAGTACGTACAGATATCACTGATCTACCTTCATATGAATACTTCTATTAAAGTTTGTATTGATTTTATTTTATTTTATTTATTTCGATAATTACTAAAGCATGTATTTTCATCCGGACCATGCAGACATAACAAATCATGATTCTTCAGGCTCAGAATTTACTTGATTCCTGGCCACTAGGGCTGAGAGGGTCTATGTCCCTCAGGGTACTGCCGGAACGTACCCTGGTACTATCTAATATGCCGGACCGTACCTCGCCTACTCCACTAACGAGTCTAGGGAGTCGCCTACGCCTACTCCCTAACCCTAACACTAACCCTAAGGCTAACCATATCAAATAGTTACCAGGGTACGTTCCGGTAGTACCCTGGAGGACATAGACCCTATGAGCGCCACTAGGAGTTGGAGTACTGATATTTATAATTAACCAATCATCAATATGTCAATGAAACTGTTTGTCAAGTGCCTGTAAGCCTTGCTAAGAGCTACAAAGTGCAATGTATTACTATATTAAACGAGGAGTACGTGATGATGATGTCATCATAGTCATGTATCTCTCAGCCTCAGCCTCACTCTCAGGCTCATCATGTAAGTCAGTTGTTGTTGTTGTTATTCGTTTATCCTCCTACTTCACGAGGTCATGGTCACAATGTAAACCCTCTGTATCGTTAGCTACCGGTGTTTCCTCATAGTAATAGGTTGTTGTACTTTTTTAAAAA